AAAGATTTCGAAGAATGAAAATTGGCGGTTTTGTTGATGTTCAACTGTAAACTTAATATTAGGATGTCCGTTGATAAGTTGGTTCAAAATACTGCATGTTGAGCTAACTTAATATTATGATGTCTATTGATAAGTTGATTCAAAATACTAAATGTTGAGCTAACTTAATATTAGGATGTCCGTTGATAAGTTGGTTCAAAATACTACATGTTGAGCTAACTTAATATTAGGATGTCTGTTGATAAGTTGGTTCAAAATACTACATGTTGAGCTAACTTAATATTAGGATGTCTGTTGATAAGTTGGTTCAAAATACTACATGTTGAGCTAACTTAATATTAGGATGTCCGTTGATAAGTTGGTTCAAAATACTACATGTTGAGCTAACTTAATATTAGGATGTCTGTTGATAAGTTGGTTCAAAATACTACATGTTGAGCTCATCCATATATGCTTCTATAGCATATTGGTTTCAACTAAGAAAGACATTCATCAAGTCAACAATTTTCACCGTTACACAACAACAAGACAGTGAGTGACAGGCTAATCTAAATCCCATCTGCTTGGTCATATAAATCATTATCAAATATAAAACGGAATTCTTTGTTGGCAAAATACACGAGTTTCTGAAACACGTGTTTAGGAAATCTAATTTAGTCATTGTCGTTTTGGTATTTATAGTCTAATCCATTATATTAGCAGAGTGAGAGAGAGATTGTGTCAATAAAACTAAATATACTGAGTTAAAGTTGTTGTTTTTTTAATATATTTTGGGAAAAATCGAAACTGTCTTTCATAGTATAATCATTTCTAATTAATGGTTTCAAAACATTAATTAAAAAATTGCCAGTTTATAATTATAAGTACCAGTGCTATACACAATCGATCTAACTGGACAATCATCTTTATGAACCTTATAGGATTTTATTTGTTTGTGTGTAGCTAAGCAAAAAGCTACAAATGAGCTGTCTGTGTTCTACACACCACGGGTATTGAAACCCAGTATCTAGCGTTGTAAGTCTGCAGACATGACCTTATGGGAACCAGTACAACATACCAGAATGAGAACCAATTGGTTTTATTTTATCATATTCGTTTTCTGTCAGTAAATATATTTTCTAGTGTTAGTAAATATTTTTTGTAATTTACATTTTTTAGTTTCAATTAGGAAATAAACCTACACATACATTAACCCTGAAATTGTCGACTTGCTTACACACCGTTTAATACCAGTGGTGTCACATATTGTATCATGTTTTGGTGTCACAAATTGTATCATATTTGCGATTTTATGTTGTTCTTTACACGTCACAACATTAAGTTTGTTTTTGAATTTCGCGCAAA